ACAGGACAGAGGAGAGCTGCCTATCCACAGGGATTCCGACTCACAGTGACCCCACAGGACAGAGGAGAACTGCCTATCCATAGGGTTTCCAAGGAGCGGCTGGTGGATCAGAACTGCCGACTTTTTGGTTAGCAGCCATGCTAACCTTTTATTTTTTTTTTTTTTTTGGTTTTTTAGGGTTCTTTTGGTAGCGCAGTGGTTAAGAGCTTAGCTGCTATCCAAAAAGTCGGCAGTTCAGATCCACCAGCCGCTCCTTGGAAACCCTATGGGTAGGCAGTTCTCCTCTGTCCTGTAGGGTCGCTATGAGTCAGATGAAAAACCCCTAAATGCTCTAAAACCGAGAGGAGCTGAGAGAGCAGTAGATTCACCCCTCCCTTCTGACCCTCACTCCAAATGCACGCTGGGTATATTGGGAGAACGGCCTTCACTGTATAAAATATTATTATCCTTTCTCCTTATCTTTTTTATTTGTTTGGTTTGAGCTCCTATGGTTTAAAGTGCCAAGTTAAATGAGATTCTACTATAATGAACTATGAAAATCTACTAAAAGAATATGCATTAAACCATGAATAATGAGATTATGTTACAAGAATATTAACTATGGTATCTCTCTAGGTTTTTGTATAAAAATGAAATTAATCCACATCAAAGACTTGTAACTTAGAGACTCAGCTCCTACCATGCAAAGGTGTTTGAAGGAAGACACACGGCAGATGAATAAAGCAAGGTGTGGAATTGTGTGTAGTGTTCTACCATCTCCATAACAATACACACACGCGCACTTTTATATCCACTGGATCTCTCTGGAATACACAAGAAACTGCTGACACTGGCTGACTTTGAGTGAGGAACTGGGTGGCGATGGGATAAAGGAGGAAGGCTTTCTCCTTTACGTCCTCTAATAACTTGAACTCTAGACTACACATGTGTATTACCCAATCCAATATAAATCAAGTGATGGAAAAATCTGGGAACAGATACGGATGACAGCAAATAACACGATGAACGTAAGTGAACGTCACTGAAGTGTTCATGTGAAGAACTGCTCAAAAGGCTAATGTTCTGTTACGTGTATATTTACAATTTAAATATACACACATATATAAATGGTTTTACATTTACAAATAAATAGATTACTCAAATAGTTTAATGAGGCCTCATATTTAGGCTATTTGTGATTCAGCCTTAACTGGCCTGACACAGTTAGATGCAAACAATTTTCATAAAAAAGAAAAACAGAACACACAGATCTGCTTCTGCACCTTGTTCTGACTCTATGCAGCTGGCAACGATAAATACATGACTGCGACCGGAAAAGCTTTCTGCAGGTTGGGTGACAGTGTATCATTACAGAGTCCAAGTTACTGCCTCTTTACATTTCTGCTCCATCGAAGCAGTCTTTCAAAATAAGGCCTAAGTATTTACCTGGCTGAGAAAAAAGCAGCTGGGACAGATGCTGAGCAAGTGTCTGAAGGGCTGGAGCCCCTCCCAGGTGGTCCACATCCAGGAGGGACACGAGACTCTGGAGACACACGAGGGCTCTGCACTGTATCGTGTTCATTCTGGAAAGGAAGTGAAATAATGCCGTCTGTTCCTCTCAGCGATTAAGAGAATTATTAATAGAATTCAGTATCAACTTTTAACCCAAGCTTCAAGTTCTGACTGGGAATACCTGTAAACAGGAGGTCTATGGCAGTTAGCAAAGAATCTTAAGGGGACCTGTTAATCTGCCACATCAAAGTGCTTGAGCACTCAGGCCTCTGAGTCATTTGTATGTCATAAAGAATCTGCTTTACAAAAATTATTATGAAAGTAGCATCTTTAAAAAATTTTCAGTTGTGAAATATGACATACATACAGTAAAATGAATAACACATATACAGAATTTAACAAGTAGTTTATATAAAGCAATCACCCTTGAAACTGTCAACTAGGCAAGAAACACTGTGTCAACTTCGGTGAAGGGAAGGACAACACACAGCACAGGGGAAGTTGGCACAACTGGACAAAAGCAAACACACAGAAGTTTCCCAGACACCTCTAAACACTTTAAGGGACCGAGGAGCCGAGGCTGGGGCCTGGAGACCATAGTCTTGGGGGGGGACATCTAGGTCAATTAGCATAACACAGTTTATAAAGAAAATGTTCTACATCCCACCCTGGTGAGTAGCATCTGGGGTCTTGAAAGCTTGCAAGCAGCCATCTAAGATACATCTATTGGTCCCATTTCACCCGGGGCAAGAGAGAATGAAGGAAACCAACGATATAAGGAAAATACCAGCCCAAAGGACTAAAGGGCCACATGACCAGAGACTCCACCAGCCTGAGACCAGAAGAACAAGATGGTGCCCAGCTACCACCAATGACTGCCCTGACAGGGAACAGAAAAGAGAGTCTGAGACAGCGCAAGAGAAAAATGTAGAACAGAATTCAAATTCATGTAAAAAGATCAGACTTAATGGTCTGACAGAGTCTGGAGGAACCCTTGAAACTATGGCCCCTGGATGCTCTGCTAACCCAGAACTGAAACCATTCCTGAAGCCTGCTTTTCAGACAAAGGTTAGACGGGCCTATAAAACAAAAAATTAATACACGTGAGCAATGTGCTTCTTGGTTCAATCAAATATATGGGACCAAACGGGCATCTCCTGTGCAAAGGCAGGATGAGAAGACAGGAAGGGATAGGAACTGGATGAACAGACACAGGGAACTCCAGGTGGAAAGGGGGAGTGTGCTGTCACATTGTGGGGACTGCAACCAATGTCACAAAACAATGTGTGCATAAACTTGAATGAGAAATTAACTTGAGCCGTCAACTTTCACCTAAAGCACAATTAAAAAAAGAAACAAATACTGTTAGCACCCTCGCAGCCCACTTCTCTCTTCCCAATCATGCCCCCCCGCCCCCGCAGAGGTAACCACTATCCAGGCTTTTATGGGAAACGTTTCCTTGCTTTTCTTAATATGCTTACTGCCTACGTATGCATTCTTAAACAATATAGTTCAGTTCTGCCTGTTTTTGAACTTTATATAACGGAATCATACTGTGTATATTTGGTGTCACACTTTTTCGGTCAACATTGTAAGTTCCATCCGTGTCGTGAGCAGTTCTAGTTCAGATCCTCTTTATTGGTGTATGTATTCTACTGTATAACTATGTCAAATTTATGTATCCATTCTACACACTGACAGACACTGGGGTTCCCAGACATGCAGCCTTGTGCTCATATGCACACATTTCCCTAGGGTATATACCCAGGAATGGAACTGCTGGGTCTTAGGGGAGTCAGCTTCTTCTATTTAATGGTCTATCATTTCATATAATAAGATAATGACAAATGTTTTTGAAAACAGAAAAATTCTTACTTTCTAATCAAAGGTTTCCAAGTGGGGTTCTTAGAACATATGTCAACTGCAGTGCAGTTTGGAAAGGCAGTTTTCTCAACAATCTATAGATTTAAGAAAGGCAGTAAAGCAACAGGTTATAAGAGTAGCGTCATTTTACACATCATCCCTTTACAGAAATTCCAACATACTACTTCTCAGCAGAATGGTCAGGCTTGAAAAGGATATAATGATCTTCTAGACTGCTTCCAGTACTGTTAATTGTTTTCTTTCCCAGATCTTACCAGTTACCTACAACCAGGAAGAGTGAGCTTACGTCTTCCTCTCCATACAGAATCAATAGGTCTCGTAAGCCTTTTCCGCGCTTTAGGACAACCCCAGAATGAACACAGATCACCTTCTTTGGGATGAGACAGTTGGTGAGCGCAGTGTGAATCTCATGGGAGAGGCACAGGGGAGACAGCAGCTGCCCACCACACTCATTGAAGGAAGTCTCCATAAATGCATCACTCTCATCACTGCTAGAGAACTCTTCCCACTCATCATCAGAAGGATCTGGAAAAAGTGCAAAGCACATGTAACTGCACTATTTAAGAAAATCCTCCTAAAAGCTGCCCTCTCAGCCCAGGGAAAAACGTCTCAACGTAACGAACCTTCACTGCAGCACATGTTGACAATAATTTCCAAAGCAGTCTGCTGGGCCGACAGCAGTGCTGTGGTCTGTCTCAGTTCCTTGTCAGTGGGCTGAAAAAGCAAACAACCAACTCTCAATGTTTGGGAAAATATTTTTGAGTAGATTTCCTTAGTTAAAGCCTATGAGAAGATTTTTGCACTTGGAACAGAGGACATGGGCGGTGGGGTGGGCGGGTGGGAGAAGTCGCAAAGTGCTAGAATTACAAACAGGCATTACAGCTCCGCTTGGCAGTGCACAGCATGCCACTCTTAACTGGGTTTTCATCTATCAGCACGGTTATTGTCTAAGTGTTGCCCAGTGAGCTGGAGAGAGCAGATAAATATCCAGGCATTCTGAACTGAATTCACCCTGCAACTTAACCTAATGTGTTCAGTAGCTTGGCATACTAAGGTTAAAACAGGATTTCATTTCAGACGCCATGCACTTATACACAATAAACCTGCTTCTAGAGGCTTAGCCGTCTTCCTGGAAAGAGGTGCATTAACAAGCACTAATAACAAATCTTTACGTGACCAACACAGCTTGGCTAGGGAGCAGAGGCTTACTTCCTGGCTTTCTTTGAAGACTGCTTTATTACGCATTTCAAGACTGAAGAAAGGGGAGACTTTTTCTCTGAAAATTTCTAACATGAACTTCACTTTATCAATTAACATTTCTAAAAACAGATAGTACGAATTTACATGATTTTCAAATCACCTGTGAAAAGCGAAAGAGCCACACTATTTGAAAACAGTGCATAAGCTAAAAATAATGGATTTTTTCATGCATCTTGTCTGAATGCTTCCAAATTTCTACAGTCTTCTAACTGTCTTCCTAATGGCTGCATAATATTCCATTAAACGGATGTAAGAAAATGTACTAAGCATTCCACTAATATGGAATATTTTGGATTGAGTGTCTTGTTTTCTCAGATTTACTGGGTTAGAGGTTGAAAACACAGCTATAAACCCAACAGTCCCATTTTCCTCTCTGGAACATTTATATTCATTTACAACTCCACCAGGAACTTCTCCGTACAACAATTTAACCGCAACTCTGAACAGTGTTCTTAAAAAAAAAAAAGCTGATTTACAAGATGTAGCTCAGGAATCCCTGAATTTTTATTCCTTTTATTATTAGCAAGAATGTATATAAGCTCAATTAGTAAAGAAGTTTGCCTTGGGAGGAACCCACAAAACTATGGTCCCTGGACGCTATGCTAACCCAGAACTGAAGCCATTCCTGAGGTCCACTTTTCAGACAAAGATTAGACAGGCCTACAAAGCAAACGTAACACACATGAAGAACGTGTTTCTTGGTTCAATCAAATATACGAGACCAAATGGGCAGTTCCTGTCCAAAAGCAGGATGAGAAGGCAGAAATGGACAGGAACGGGACAACCGGACAGAGGGAACCTCAGGTGGAAAGGGGGAGCATGCCGTCACATTGTGTGGATTGCAACCAATGCCATAAAACAATATGTGTATAAATTTTTGAATGACAAATTAACTTGAGCTGTAAACTTTCACTTCAAGCACAACTGAAAAAAAATAGTCTGCCTTGGGCGTTGCGTTCTTTTAAAGAACTATCTACATGAGATCAAACTGACATCAGTAACTCTAAGGCACAGATGAGAAGTTTGGGAATAGTGAGTCTCAGCTAACGGTGATGAAATAATTTGTGAACAGACAGTAGGAAGGCACCATGTGAAGGACGGAACCACTGTCGCTGAGTTGTACAGGGAGATACTGCTGAGTGGATGTATGTTGGGCTGTGTATGTTTTCACCCAGAAAGAAAAAAGAATGTATGCAAAACTTACTACTATTTGCTTTGTGTGTATATGCTATTCAACTAAACATTTATTAGAGGCTCAAAGCTAAATAAGACTTGCTGTTGCTGGGCCCTCGTCACTTAAAAATGTATGAAGATCTTAGAAGAAACTCTGAAATTAAGTCCTGTTTCTTCATGTACCTCTCGTGCCCAGAACATTTCCCTATTTATTGTTATCAAACTAATATTAAAAAAACATCTAGATGAAGTGTTCTAACATCTGAGATTTGCTACAAAATACTTGATAAAGGGAAGAGTGGGTCAAGATATCAAGAAATACATGAAATGAAGCAGATTAGGAATTGATAACTGGTAGCTGTTGAAACTGGGTCAGGGCACTCTACTTTTACATGTTAAAAAACAAAACAGAATAACCCCTGGGGTGAACCGCTCTTTCTTACGTATTTGTGGTTTTACCTTCTTAAGTTAAATGATGCAATAAAGGGGTTTGATTCTGAAGGACTCCTGCCCAAGTGGCCAGCTGTGAGGCAGAGTGAAAGGCCACAGCGACTCTGAGTTTGTACTCCTGGCACACACCCGCATGATGCCCAGACCCTGCTGGCACTTACAACACTGGCTGACTGACGAGCCTGTTTGTCACCCAGTCCACTCAATCATGTTAACAAGACTTCAAAAAGCAAGTTTTTGCTATGAGAAAACACTTCCTTTCATAAGCACCAAGATTCTATTTTTAAATAATGCTTAAGAAAGTAAATGTCTAAATAACAGTTAAAAATCAACAGTTTTTCCAAATGGGCAACTCCTGCCCAAAAAGCAAGACAGGAAGGCAAGGAGGGACAGGAAAACTGGACAAATAGACACAGGGAACTGGGGTGAAAAGAAGGAGAGTGCTGTCACGTTGCAGGAATTACAACCAATGTCACAGAACAGTATGTGTATAAATTTTTGAATGAGAGATTAACGTGAGCTGTAAACTTTCACCTAAAGCACAATAAAATAAAGAAAAAAAAACAATAGTTTTTCAACAGTGGTAAATCCTATCTTCATCTCGGTAGACATGGTCTTGGCTCCTCAACAGCGCCCTCGAGGAGCCCCCCGGAAGCAGGGCTGGAGGTAGGGGAAATCGTCCAGGAATGCCACTCTCCCCTTGCCCAGTAAGGGAGTTCGATACTGCAGGAGTTTCCTGACAGAAGAACTGTAATTCCATTTCTGCACTGACAGGAATACGCAGTGGTAAAACAAGTCACACCTGCATCTGTTAGGATAAACTGAGACCTGATCGGTGTAATGCAGAAAGCTGAAAAAGAGCCTCAGAGCTCTGATTGATCACATCGCGACTTTCCACGGATGGATATGAAACCGAGTACATTCCAGATCTATAAGTTAACCTTCCTGTGATTACGGAAGAGATTACATGCTAGGGTTTTTTATAAATGTCCCTGTTGGAGGGAAAGGAGCACAGCTGCACCTTCATCTAGCTTTACTGATTTTAAACTCTATTCAAACGCTCGCACAGATGCAACAAGTGGGGTTTGAGAACCTGCCCCCTGCACCAAAAGGTGGTGCTATGATTTTCAAGTCACTTGACAATTTGCAGGCAACTCAAGAACAGGATGGCCTTCTCATGTCTGCATCTGCCTCAGCACTTAACACAACGCTTTGGACCTGACAGCTATTTGTGGGAAGAAAATGTTTGTTTTCTTTAAAACACCACCAATCTATACCTCTCAAGAGTTCATGAACACAAAGAAAGCAGTATACTGTTCCATTTATTTTCAGTATATTCTGCTTAAAGAATTCTTACTGGATAAAAATTCATCAAAACTCTTACTTAGACACTGACTTCAGACAATTCTCAGTTCATTTGGTATGAATCAGGACAGGCCGCCCCTGAAATTTTAGAAACAGTGACAGAACATTAACACCATTCTCTTCCACTTCAGGTTTCACTATCGTTCTTCAGGACGACTTCAGAGCCTCCTGACAGGTCTCCCTACCTCCAGACCCTTTATCTTCTACCACCAGCTGGCTGCCTGAATGGTCTCGCTCAACACCACTACCCTGCTTCCACCGTGCTGCTTCTTGCCTCCCTTGTCCTCAAGACAGCTCGTGCATTTTTTCCAAAAAGTCTTCTCTGACAACCTCTTCTCCTCTCTCATCAGGAATGGTGTAGACATACCTCCTCTACAGAAACAACTCCTTAGAAACTGGTGCACAGTTCACAGCAAAGGCATTAAAATGTGGCTTTATATGTCTGTCCTACCCAACAATTCCTTAGAAACTGGTGCACAGCTCTCTTAACGGTTCACAGCAAAGGCGTTATAATATGGGTTTATGTGTCTGTCTTACCCAACAACTCCTTAGAAATTGGTGCACAGCTCTATAACTATTCATAGCAAAGGCATTATAACTACGGGTTTATATGTCCATCTTACCCAAACTGGGGAGGTTCATGAGGACAGGAAGTATGTGTTAACCATCTTTCCAGCTTCAGTATCTAGCACAGTGCCTGGCTCGTCAGAGGAGTGCAGTAAATGCGTACCAGTATGAACAAAGCCCAACTCACTGTCCTCTCTGTCTTCTGCTCCTTGAGGAACTGTTCTCCCAAAGTTTGGCTCCTTCTCTGTTGACTAGCTCAGCTGAAATAATTCCTGGATCCAAGATAGCTCACCCTTACCCCAACATCACACCCACTAGTACAAATATACTACAATCATCCAGTCTGCAAAAACTACAAAGCATCATTAATTCCCCCAATCACCCAACCTCCTCTGCTCAGCAGTAGTAGATAAATGAAGGTCTGGCTTACCACTTTGGTAAGGCTAAATACTAACGTAAAAGAGACAAGAATACAAAGATCAAAATAGGAAGACTTACACTTCCTAACCTCAAAACATACTATAAAGCTACACTAATCCAAACAGTCTGGTTTTGGTATAATGAAAGACATACAGACCGATGGAATAGAACTGACAGTCCAGAAATAAACCCATGCACATATGATCAACTAATTTTCAACAAGGGTACTAAGAACATTTGATGGGGAAAGAATAGTTTCTTTAACAAATGGTGCTGGGACAACTGGATTTCCACATGCAAAAGAATAAAGATGTAAATGACAAATGGAATGAAGGAGAGGAAAAAAAAGAATGAAGATGAAACCATATGTCTCATCTTACTGGAAAATGAACTAAAAATGGATCAAGGACCTCAATGTAAGAACTAAAACCATAAAACATAGGAGTAATGCTTTGGGACTTAGTATTTAACAATGGATTCTTAGATATGACACCAAAAGCATAAGAGACAAAATAGGTAAGTTGAACTTCATCAAAATTAAAAGCTTTTGTTTTGTTCATCAAAGGACTTTATCAATAGAGTAAAGAAACAACTTGCAGATTTGGGGGAAAATTTTGGGGAATTGAATATCTGAAAAGGGTTTAATATTCAAATATATTTAGAACTCCTACAAATTAACAAAGACAAATGAACCAATCAAAAAATGGGCAAAGAACTTAATGAATGAATAAACAAAATGTGGCATATACGTACCATGGAATATTACTCATCTATAAAGATAAAAGAAGTTCTGATACATACTACGAAGATTAACCTTGAAAACATTATCCTGCGTGAAATAAGTCAGTCACAAAAGGACAAATATTGCCTGATCCTACCTATTTGAAACATCTACAATTGGAAAATCACAGAGCCCAAGGTTTCCTAGTGATTACCACGGGCAGGCAGGAGAGGGAAAGCAGGAGTCACTGCTTAGAGCGCACCAAGTCTCTGTCAAGGGTGATGGAAAAACTGGGAAATGGATAGTGGTAATGGCTGCACAACATGAATGTTTAACTGACGTCACTGAATTGTACATGTGAAAAATGCAAATGCTCTGTTATATGTATGTTTACTACAGTAGAAAGAAATAAAAATGCAAGTGACAATCCAAGCAAATTAGGAGGCGGGGCCAAGATGGCAGAATAGTCAGACGCATCCTGTTCTCCCTATTACAACAAAGACCCGATAAAACAAGTGGATCAATTATATATGACAATCTAGAAGCCTTCATCATCAAAGACAAAGCTGAAGAGTCAGACTGAGCGGCAGGGGGAAGGAGAGACAATTCAAAAGCAGTGAAGTGCCAGTCACAAGGCTGCCGGCTGGGTTGGCCAGCACATGTAGGCTGAGGTGAGCAGCAGTGTTTGGGACGTGTCTCACCATGTCCTGAGAGGCCAGGCGGCAGCGAATTTGCACAAGCCTCCAGAGCCAGGGGGGAGTGGTGCTGGACCCTCGAAAGTTAAGTGCAAGCATCTAACCTACCCCACGGAGGCAAGCTAAGCCCTCACCCTCTGGGAGTTTCACAGCAGAGAGGTGCTTCCTTCCCGTCACCCACCCCCTACCTGCTCCCTTCCCACATCAGTCGGGCAGTATTCGACAACTGCCATGCCCCCTAAGCCGGAACTCAGGGCTATCCACGCCCACCCTAGTCTCATGGCTTGAAAAAAAGCCATGTCCCCTAAACCAGGAACTCAGGGCAGGTCGGGAGGCCCTGCCCTTTCATTCAGCCAAAGGCATAAGGGGTCCACAGACTTGTAGTGCCCTTCACCCCCGCCTAGACCTGCATGGGTTGATTCAACAACACATACCCTCATTAGCATAAAACAAAAGGGCATACACCTGAAGCCCATTTTCAACTGCAGCAGCCAAGGGAGAGCTGCAGATCCGTGACATTTCACACCGCCCTACCCATTAAGCAGGGGCCTCACCCACACACATCAGGGGCCTGAGGGCCATCAGCCCCTGCTTTGCTCCACACATAGCCCCCTACTGCAGCCAGATACCTGTACCTGCTCTAAACACCCCTACCTACGCAGACTTGCCCGTCTAGGACTATAAGTGAGAGTCTACACCACACGCTCGGTGACCTACGCCCTGCACACCTGTGCCACATCTGCACAAGTGAACAAACTCCTGGGCTCACACACCTAGTAGCTGCTCTAACCACCTGGAGACAGGATGTGAGAGATGCAAAGACTGCAATAACCACAGCAGCTCATATGCACAGCCTCCTTGGGCAATATCAAAACAAAACAAAAAGCTAGGACAATGAACAAACATACAATAAATAAATCTAGTAATTTACTGACAACTTAGAGACAACAGTCAATATCAAATCATATAAAAAAGCAGGTCAAGATAGTTCCAACAAGCGACCAAAATAAAGAACCAGGAAACCTTCCGGAGGAAGGTAAGGTCACGGAATGACCTGAGTTAGAATTCAAAAGACTAACATACAGAGCTCTCCAAGAGATCAGAAAGGAGAGCGGGCAAAACTCAAGCCAGGCCAAGGAACACACAGACAAAGCAATAAAGGAATTCAGGAAAACAACACAAGAACAAAACAACAAATTTACAGGCTGCTAGAAACCACAGAGAAAACAGTAACCAGAAATCCAGAAGATTAACAGTAAAACTGCAGAATTAGACAACTCAACACAAGGTCAAAGGAGCAGAACTGCAGCAAAGGAAGTCAGAATTAGTGAGACTGAAGATAAATCCCTTGACACCAACTTATCTGAGGAAAAATCAGAAAAAAAGGAATTAAAAATAATAAAGAAAGCTTAAGAATTACGTGGGACACTATCAAGAGGAAAAAGCTACAAGTGATCAGTGTACCAGAACGGGGGGCGGGTGTGTGTGTGTGAGACAACAGAAAACAGAGAGAACGTCGAAGATTTGCTGGCAGAAAACTTCCCTAATATCATGAAAGACAAGAAGATATCTATCCAAGAAGCTCAAGGAACCCTACACAGGGTAGATCCCAAAAGAAAGTCACCAAGACATCTCATAATTAAACTGGCCAAATCCAAAGACAAAGACAGAATCGTGAGAGTGGCTAGGGATAAACAAAAAGTCACCTATAAAGGAGACCAATAAGATTAAGTGCTAACTGATGACTCAGCAGAAACCAGGCAGACAAGAAGGCAATGGGATGACATATATAAAGCCTTGAAGGAAAAAAAAAAATGCCAGCCAAGACTTATATATCCAGGAAAACTGTCTCTCAAATACGATGGCAAAATTAGGTCATTTTCAGATAAACAGAAGGTAAGGGAATTTGTAAAAACCAAACCAAAATTACAAGAAATATTAAAGGGACTCCTCTAGTTAGAGAACTAACAATATCAGACAACAAGCCAAGCCTAGAACACAAGACAGATCAACCAGTATTCAACCCAGACAGGGAAGTCGCAAGAATAAGTCAAAGCTAAAAGACTGAAAATAAGGAACCAGAGTCTTCCACATGTAAGTGATTACAACATCAAAACAAAAAAGAGGGACTAAACAGGGTATTCACAGAATTTCCATATGGAGAGGAAGTTAAGCTGATATCAAGAAATAAAGGATTGGTTTAAACTTAGAAAAAAAAAGGTAAATTTTAAAGCAACCACAAAAGAAGTTAACAGATCTACCTATCAAAATAAAAAAGAAGAAAAACATGAAGATTCAGCAAATACAAAATCAACGATGAAAATACATAAAGAAAAACGACTTAGCACAGAACTTAAATGGAACAAAGAAACCGTCAACAACACAAAAAGAATACATCAAAATGACAGCAGTAAATGCATATCCATCCATAATTACACTGAATGTAAATGGACTAAATGCACCAACAAAGAAAGTGGCAGAATGGATTAAAAAATCACGATCCGTCTATACGCTGCCCACAAGAGACACACCTTAGACTCAAAGACACACACTAAAACTCAAAGGATGGAAAAAATGTATCAATCAAACAACAACCAAAAAAGAGCAGGAGAAGCAATATTAATAACTGACAAAATTGACTTTAAAGCAAAATCCACCACAAACGATAAGGAAGGACACTATATAATGATTAAACGGTGAATACATCAGGAGGACATAACCATGATAAATATATATGAACCCAAGCAAATTAAAAATTACTTTAGCTTAAAGAGAGTCTGGGATAGAGTGTGTACCTGAAGTGGGTGACACAAGAGTTGCGAGAGACAATCACATGTTTCTAGGGTATTACAAAAGTACTGCTCTAACCCACCTTTTAAATCTCCTTTTTATAAATTTCATATTAGACAAAATGCCCCCCACCCCCCACCGCGGGAGCAGATTTCTAATGTTTTAATGAGAGCTGATGTAAAAACATGACTGACTCTTGCTGAAATTCATTTTATAGTTAATCTTGCCGTAAATTTCTTCTAGAAAGCTAAGGATATCAATGACAGAAAACGGCGGTTATTAATCCACGTTTGAGAGCATCAACTTGACTTACCGGAAGTAAATCTGAAACAAAGGCCTTCCTTCTTGCTTTTCTTTTGTGAGACATTTCTTCCACTTCATCATCTTCAATCAAAACATCACCATTAGCACTCTCTAAGATTTCCTCAGTCTCTGCAGCAGTTTTCAACCTCTGAGTTTCAGCCACCTTCATCTGAATAACTGTCTGACCAGCATCCATTTCCAAAACTTCCGACAGGATCTTGAGTACAGCATTTATGATTTCTGCTTGACTCCTGGAAGGAATAAGGTCCTTTAGATTCCAAACTGTGCCTGGAAGAAAATGAACGTAAGGACAAAGGAATCACCTGTGAAATCTTTTATTAAGTGCAATTTCCACAAGATTGGTTCTTTAAGCTCAGGTGTAATTTCAAAAATCTCAACCCTGCTGCCTTTGTTCAATTTTTATAAAATGTCAAAAAGCACTGAAGAGACAGCTCCGTTTACGATAATCCTTCATGATCCTCTCCCTTCCTCGCCACACAATACGTTTCTCTGATATACTTTATGTCAGCAGACCAAGAGAATGTAGATTAGGTTTTTCTAAAACTACAAATCAAGTTGCCTCGTTTTCTTTCATCTTAACCTAAGCTGCTCTCCTCTGCAGTTTCTTATATTCCAAGAATGGAATGCAATGTACTAAAATTCCAAGGTCTCATACACAAACCAGAGAGCAGATTCTTGCTCTCTCTTTTTCTTATCAAAATAGAACAGTAGCTACCATTAAGTAGTTAGACTGATTTGAAAACACCTCTCGAGATCAATTACCTCCGTAAGGCCAAAGGGCAAGAGGAAAATATATGCAGAAATTAAATACGTGCTACTAGAAAGACCATCAGATTATTTCTCATTTCTACATTCAGGAATTCTGGGGAGAAAAGGGTTGGGGGTAAAGAACTTATGGAAAAGCAAGTGGCCTTGGATCCCCAAAGTCAATTTCTAAACTCACTGGTTCATAAGGAAAAGGGGACCCTGATAACAACATTTCTTTGTCACATAATGGTAGTTTGTTACACTGAAAACAGATCTAGTCTAGAAGGCTTCACAAATATGGAGGACTGCTTGAATTAAGGGTCACCATTTAAACATCAAAATCTTCAAAACAGGCATATAAGCACAGAACAGGCTTATAAGAAGGCCAGGTGTGATGAAATGAAGAAATGACTGTAAAATCAGCCCCCACAGCTACATGCTAAAAGTTACTACAAAGGTACATTACCCCTATGGCTAAATTTTACCTGCCACTAATGTCTTTAATAGAATGTACTCCATGGAATTGACAGACGACAGCATTGCTGATTCCAGTATTTGCAATCCTGCAGCACTGAATGATTTCAGTAACTCTGGATTATCTTCAGTCACAGTCTGCAAACAATTTGCTATAAAGACAAATATTAAACATTTACAAACAAATCAATTCTGCTTAGGATAATTTACAACGATATAACTCATCAAAAAAATCTGCATCTTTACAACTGCTTTACACACATGTATAAATATTCTACTTCAAGGATGGTCATCCAAATGAGGCTTTTTAAACTATTAATGTTGCAAAAACCTTTTTTTTTAATTTCTAATGCCCTGCAGAATGCTATTTTATAAAATGCAATTAAAAAGCTCTTAAATGTCATGAAGTGTCAAATTACTATAAACATTTATAAAGCCTTATCCTCAATTTCTGTACTCGTCATGGACCAGTAACAAACAGTCTGTGGAACATCATCATCAGCCCATGGACCACAGTCTGAGTAGCTCTGTTGTAGATAACAAGCCCTAGGTTTTAAGACATTCTGGCTTCCTTTAAATTCAGCATGACCTTAAAAGTTAAGGTTATTTCTGATGAAGTAATAGTTCTTAAAAAAAAAAAAAAAAAAAAAAATTACATTTACATAAATGAGCAAGTTAAAAAATGGACAAAATACTGATAGTGACATATGATCCATTTAGCACTTAACTCCTTCCCTCAAATTAAAACGGGACAATGGATTACAACATGCATATTAGAAATACTTCACTGAAAGTATAAAAACACCCTCAGGGACCAAATTACGGGGCTGAGGACTGTGGGGACCATGGTCTTGGGGAACATCTAGCTCAACTGGCATAACACAGTTTATAAAGAAAATGTTCTACATTCTACTTTGGAGAGTAGCGTCTGGGGTCTTAAGAGCTTGTGAGCAGTCATCTAAGATACTCCACTGGTCTCACCCCGTCTGGAGGAAGGGAGAAAGAAGAAAACCAAAGACATAAGGGAAAGATTAGTCCAAAGGACTAATGGACCACAACTACCACAGCCTCCACCAGACTGAATCCAGCACAACTAGATGGTGCCTGGCTACCACCACTGACTTCTCTGACAGGGATCACAATAGAGGGTCCTGAACAGAGTTGGAGAAAAACATAGAAAAAATTCTAATTCACACACACACACACAAAAAAAGACCAAATTTACTGGTCTGACAGAGACTGGAGAAATCCCAAGGTATGACCCCTGGACACTCTTTTCGCTCTGTAATGAAGTCACTCCTGAGGTCCACCCTTTAGCCAAAGATTACACAGGACCATGAAACAAAATGAGACCATATGGGCACACCAGCCCAGGGGCAAGGACAAGAAGGCAGGAAGAGACAGGAAAGCTGGTAATGGGGAACCCAAGGTCGAGAAGGGTAGAGTGTTGATATGTCGTAAGGTTGGCAACCAATGTCACAAAACAATGTGTATTAGTTGTTTAATGAGAGACTAGTTTGCTCTGTAAAACTTCATCTAAAGTACAATAAAAAAGAAAGGAAATATAAAACCAATGGGGACTACATGAAAAGGTTTCAGAAGAAACCTCTGAAATACAAAAGAGGAAGCAAGTCCAGGTTTGTTTTCTGTCTAACTCCATACAGATCCATTTCTGTCCAGCTCTAAAAATCCCAGGATAGATCACACCCATCCAGATTCGTCCAAACACACGCTGTTGCTGTAATCCAGCTTGGTTCCCAAAATACTCGTGTGTGTATCCGAATGTAGTACTGTTCCATTAAGAACCTAATGGAATTCACTTTAGCAAAAAGTCAAGATAAGTTGACTGCTACCATAAACAGACAGTACAACAGGCGCGATGGGTGAACAACATGCTGAACGTGAGTACCGTCACTGAATCGTCCGTGTGCAGATTACCGACACGGCAAATGTTTGTTACCTATACATTCACCGCAACAAAAAATTTTTTTCAAAAGAAAAAACGAATACAAGTTTAAAGAAAGCTATGTTAAAATATAGACTGGAATCTCCTATGTTCACTTTACGATACTTAAGCCTTGCTTGACTTTCAAAACAAAAGCAACTGGACATTTGTTAACTAAATCATAAATCTAGCTAGATGCAGAAGGAAAACAGTGTTATACAATGCAAAATGACTACAATCCATGTCACAAAAGTTTGTTAGGAGAAAAAAGAAATTAAAAAATAACTAAATTTAAAACAAAAGTCACAGAAATAGAACTGAAGGTTTTCTTTTAAGTTATAAACTTTCCTGAAATTCTCTTATTGTAATAAAAACTGCCCTCTGAGACTTCCTCGTTCAATTGTTTTTAAAATCCATTTACTCACAAATCCCTACTCTGCCAAGATTCCATCTGAGAAATTGATTTTTAAGTTTTCCCAAGTAGTATATTTATTCTCCTCCCCTTTTTTCTTTCCTCTTAAGACTACCCATTAGAGCCAAGAGAAACATCAATGAGCGGAAAGCACTTAGTCTTTGCCAGCAGAAATGCAGCATTAGATAAAGGACAACTGGATGCCTGCCATTACGTTCGGCAGAAAAAAATGCTGTTTATCAATTATTTCTCCACTCTCAGGCTCTGGTTTCTGTCTCCTCCCCCTGCTGAGCTACGGCCCCCAACAGCACTCTGAGCCAATACAGGGAAGGGTGGGAGCCAAGACAGCTGAAGCTGCTGGACGTTGCTCTCCCTGTCCCACAGAAGGGAAGCAGAGCTAAGTGAAATTTCAGTTGCTTATTCTCCTCTCTCAAGAGAACCACACCGATTATCAGCTTTCTGATGGAAGTGTAAGACAGTGGCACAAAACATCTAAGTAAGTCTAGATGATTCCAGTCAACTTTGGCTCAAAGGCCTGGTAGCTGTGGGGTTATTGTCTCATAGTGAATGGAGATGGAAACGTCAAGAATTTAAAGAATAAAGCTTCTAAGAATGGTAGGAGACGAGAAATCACATATGCCCACGTATGTTCTCCTCCTCCCTTTCAGAGTGAAAAGCAGGAAAACTGAATGAGTAATCAAAGCATTCATCACAGATTTTAAAAGAATCAGAAGAAACAGAACTCTTCAGCTACACATTTATATACAACGTGAAAAAAATCACTCCTGTAGAATAGACATGCTATATCTGAATAAAAAAATGTTCATAAGGCTATACACACTTAATAAATTATCACTTCTTCACTTACCTACTGAAATAGCCAGGTCAACATTGGTGGAAAACCTACTTAAATACTTTAATACAATCTCCAAACAGCCTTCTTTGTTGAATATAGATACTGCTCTATTATTGCATTCACTAAATTAAAGAGGGAAAAAAAAGTTTTACCATTCACGTTTTAACATTAAGAAATCCATCACAGAAACCCATGGAAAAAATTAGATTTTACAGAACCAAAGAATCTGACAGAAACCAGTGTCCGTTCATATTCACTGTACATTTTTATTTCCAGCACAGTGGGACCTCCGAGTCAATGCCTTTACCTGATGGTACCAGTGTCCTTACAGAAGGTTAGAGCTGGAAGAGAGCTTAGAAATCATTTAATTCAATTTTCCATTTTATGGGTGAAGAAACTGAGGCCTTAAAAGGTAAAGCGATTTATCCAAAGATGATATATTTTGTCAGTGGCAGAGCTAGGTTCCCTGGGTCCAGCCTATTCTTCTTTCCACCACACCACAGTAATAATCAGTTAAAGTAAGGATAAAAGGCTCCTATACTTATCACATAAAAAACCACAAACTTAAAAGACAGCAAAATTAGGCTTTATTCATTCCTTCTAGGCCACTCATAATTTCATCAAGCAGAACTTAAAGTCTACAACAGAAAATTACTGTAATAATTACTTCTGAAATTACACTGTTTTAAAAAAAGACTCAGCTTATTAATGTTATTAATAAGCACAGAGTATAAACAGAGTAAGCAGAGCTAATTATAATAACTTACTCGTATTTCCAGACAAAGGTATCCTCCATGCATACCACATATAAACGTGACAACCTAACAGCTAACAGAACTGACTAAATTATTAAGTCAATCCTATCTGAAGATACACTATTCTATCTGTCTAGTTACTGAGAGGCCGCTACGAGCCTGCTCTTGAGAAGCACACAGTGTAGTCTGGAAGGTGAGTCACAAGTAAAGGTAATTTAAAATACACAAAGCAAAGAAGGTTAAGAGCTAGGATAATTTTAAATGATACAGATGGGGCTCACAGGCATTTAAGAAAGAAATGACTTTGGAGGTATATTCAGCCTCTTTTCAAAGAATTAAAAACAAAAAATTTCCAAGTTCAACAATGTATAAAAGTTAAAGTTGTGGGATGCAACAGAAAACCTGCATTCGCCAGTTTGCTCAGATGCCGTTTTCTCAAATCTGACCTCTCCAGTTTTCCTGGTGGAATGCATCCAGCAGTTTAAAACGGGATCATGGGCAAGCTCAGACTGCTGGGTAGGCAGCTTTTCAGGATCCTAATCAATCTTGCGTTCTAGGAAATACCTGTGCTTTTAGGTCAGAAGTCATCACTGCTGCTGACTGAAAATAAGGAACTATGACAGACTCTTGCCAGAAATGTGGGACATAAAATGGAATAAGGAAAAAAAAAAAATCCAGGTTGTGTCCCTAGCCATTTCTATTCCTAGCAGCAACTCCACTCCAGCCCACCACTGCTACAAACAGTGGAGAGTGGTCTGAGCTTGGCCCCTACCTCCCACTGGGCCAAGGAAGCTCTTCTGTGCATCTGCTTTCCTGTCAGTGGTAACTCCCAGAGCAGAGGAGTGAAGCAGCAGCCACAGCTTGGGGTCCCCGCTTCTCCAAAGGCCAAACCAAAGCAGCTATTGCACTGGAACCTGACCAGCTTTGAGACAAGTGCTGCTTAGGGTGTGGGGGGGGTGGAGGAAAGAGGCGTACACTACGTGCTAATGGCCATGAGTCATCTTACTTTGTCAGCAGCAATGACTGGAGAGAAGAGATGTCAAACACACACACACACACAAAATGTCGCGATACTATGAGAAAAAGGACTTAGGAAAGACGGCTGATCTTGGGTCACCCAATATTATCTTCTGCCAAGTACCAGCATCACGATTTCCAGGCCTACCAAGGGGAACAGATTCCTATGGAGCTTAACAGGAAGAGCAGCAGGCTATGCTGAAAAGCATCTTACCATATATTCCACAGTACATTCACAGCCTCATTGGCTATGTTCTCAACTGAATTTCTGTTCTGATCCTTTTTTTCCTGGGGAGACATCTCATCTGAATCCAGTCCAGCACTACACTGAAAAGAATTCAAAAGAATTAAACAAAAAGGCTAATGATGATGAAGAATCATAAAAACTAAACATCAAAATTATAGTGATTAACAAGCCAATCAAATTCTCATAAGCAGTACAGTTACCACAACCCTGCTTCCCTTCTGGCAACAGCTACATACAAGAAAGGGTCCCCAGTTATTGTGCAAACGGGATAGAAGGCATTTCATATTTTTAATGAAAATGTAAAATCAATGCAGGTATTGTATCTAATGTGATACAAGACAATAAAGACAAGAAAGGAAAATAACACATAATAGGGGCTAACATCTGTGCAAGGAGCCCTGGTGGTGCAATGGTCAGTGCACTTGACTGCTGACCGAAAGGTCGGCGGTTCAAACCCACCGACCACTCTGCGGGAGAAAAGATCTGGCCATCTGCTTCCATAAAGATTACAGCCTAGAAAACCCTATGGGGTAGGTCTACTCTGTCATATAGGGTCGCTAGGAGTCGGAATTAGCTTGATGGCACATAACACCAACAACATCATCTATACAGCGCCTTCTATGGACCAAGCACTATTCTAAGCACCTTATGTATACTAAGTCATTTAATCCTCACTACAAGCCTATGAGGTAGATGAACTATTTTCCCCAATCTCCCATTACAAATAGGAAACTGAGCTACAGGGAAGTTGCTGAAGGTATAGCTTAGTATATAGTGAAGCCAGGATTTAGACCCAGGAATTCTGGCTCCAAAATTAGTGCTCTTAAGCACTCTGAAGTACTGCCCCTTGAATGTAATCTGCAGCACCCTCTAAAGCAGGTACCTGCACTATTTGACATTTGGGACAGAACCCTTCTATGTTGTAGGGGGCTGTCCTGTGCATTGTAGTATATTCAGCAGCATCCCTGACCTCTACCCACTAGGTGCCAGCAGAAACCTCCCAGTCCCAGTTATGACCATCGAAAATGTCTCAAAATGTTCCCTGCAGGGCAAAATCACTCCGAGTTGAGAATCACTGCTAGAAAGGGAACATGAATGATGCCTGCCATCAAAACTGGATATCCTCTCTACAGCCCTAAGTGAAAATTATCCACCAATACCGAACAGTGAGCCAGAGGCACACCGCTGACCCTTGACTCCGGAACACTCCCTGCAACAAGACTGGCGTGGGATTAATTACGAGAACTTCATATAATCTTCACGGCCAGTTCCTAATGTCTATGCCTCAACTTCCTCGTTTGTAAAATGGGAATAACAACATTGTGTGGATTAAATGAAGTAATACGCAAAACACCTACAGTACCTGGTACGTAAGTAAACAAAAATACTGACGATTTTTATTATATGAAGCTAAAAATCTAAAGAAATCAGTCACAGGAGGGTCTTTTTCAATGAAGGTGATAGGGACAAAATAATAGAGAATGGCAAAAAATATGAAAGTAGAGCAGTATTCCCAGGAAAAGAAATTAAATTCCCACAGGGTGTTTTGAGGGAAGACGAAGTAGCTAACATTAGATCACTAAATCAAAAGAAAAAAACTAAGTTTGTACACGAAAAGCTGCATTTAGAGACCACCACCCAGAGGCTGTAAACCTGCATACCTCTTTTAGCAGTGCGACCAGGGGTGTCATGATATCCTTAGTCACCATGTCATCACAAACCTCAAAACCACCACAAGCACTGAGATTTCTACAAAAGAAGTTAAAACATATTCACATTCAGATCATGTGTCACAAAACACTATCAAACTCTCAAATGTTTTTTATTTTTAACCATATTGAAGGTTTCGCAGAGAAAATCCACTTATTATTTCTGTAAGGTGCTGCGGAACCAATGTGCTTTGAACCTTATTCTACAAGATGGAAACAAATGACTTTCTTATGTAACCACCTAGTTCTAAAGAGAAGGTTTGAGACAGTACACAGCTGGGTGACGACAGGAAATGGAAACGGGAGAAGAGTAAAACGAGTGAATCAAGCCCGGTCTGCTATGAAGGGACCGCTTCTTGGAATCTAGACGTCAAGTGCAGCAAGCTGAGAATGACGTTCCTGAAACGGCCCTGGCTGAACTCAATTCTAACCGAAAAGACGCTGCTTGCCTCCTTAGTGCGCAGCACTGTGCTAGGCACTGAGCAACAAAGATAAATCAGAAGACACGCCACAATCTTCCAGGAGCTCCCAGTGTGTCTACATCTGGTGGGGGAGGGGAGGGCTTTCCTACTCCCCCCATCAAATGGTGAAACTTCTCTCATCCGTCAGCTCTCACCTCGAACATCGCCCCCTCAGGGTCGTCTTCTCTGAACCCCCCGTTATACTCTTACAGCACCCTCTGTAACTACATCAGTTGTGATTACACACTTAGGTGATCATTTGGTTAATGTGTGTCTCCCTCATTGAACTGCTGAGACACATACGGACAGGGACTGTGTCTGTCTTGCTCACTATCACGTGGCCAGAGCCTAACACAGCGCCTGGCGAACAGGAGGCAAGCAACATCTATTCGCTAAACCACCGAAGAAAACAGAAACAGTAAATAAAGAACTATGACGAGAACTACAAATAGTAACTTCTACACTTGCCCCCTCTGCAGGCCATTCTCTGCATAGTCATTGGAGTGGCCTTTCAAAAGGTAAATCACCTCACTCTGCTCTGAGTCCCTGTCCTCCTCCTCCTCCTCTCCAGCGCTATCTCCTGTGAGTCCTCACTCCCAGCTTTACTTGGCCACACTAACCTTTCTGTTCTCTGGCCATGCCAAGCCCTTTGCCCTTCACTTCTTTGCTCCTGCTGTTCCCTATGTCAGGAGTGCTCCTCCCCGCATTTTTTCCAGGCCCGGCTCTTCTATCCTTTGGGTCTCAGTTCAAACGTCATCTAGAGAGAATCCAATGTAAAGTAACCGCCCACGCCCCACTCATCACGCTGTTTCTCCACAGCACTTCTCACTAGCTAATGTTCTCTTACCTACCTGTTTACTAGTTTCCTGTCTGTCTCATCCACACAGGTTCTGTGAAAGCAGGGATCCTGTCTGTCTCGCCCAATGTCCTACCTGCTCAAAATCCCCTGCACCTAACAATAACTCCTGGCACACACACTGGCCTGCCTATTTCGGGGAAGGGTTTAAGGGAATGACAGCGTTAAATCAACCACAGGACTCTACGGGGGCTTCTAGGGGAAGGGAAGGGTAAGACGTGCTCTAGGTCTCCAGGGCGCCTGGAAGGTGGCTGTCGCAGGGGAAGCAGCAGGCTGACAGACGGTAAGCGTGGTCCGGGGGTTATGGGACCCTCGGAGTCCCACTGTCTGATTTCAAATCCCCTCCCTACAAATGCGACACCCTCGACAGGTTATTCGCCCTGCCGAGCTCAGCCTTCACGACCTACCTCCCACCACTGCCGTGGGGATGAAAGGACACCGCGACAGGGCCTGGCCCAGACGCGCTGCACAAAGGATGCTCCCGCCTGGGTGCCAGGCCCGGGGGCGCTGGCCGCGCACCGCGGACGCCCGCCCGCCCG